GAGTTAATGGGTGCAGCACAGCAACATGGCACATGTATACATATGTAACAAACCTGCATGTTGTGCACATGTACCCTAGAACTTAAAGTATAATAAAATATTTAAAAAAAACAACAAAAAAAACAATTTTCTGCATAACTTTCTATACTTCATGATTTTTTAAAAATCACAAATATGTATCATTTCACAGAAAGTTTCTTTTAATAAAGAAAAACCATCACATTTATGTAAATGGGCTTGTTATACACAATTTACATTCTAAAGACTTTTTCATAATTTATGACCTTGAAAAATTCTGGACAAAAACTTAAAGGAGAAATTTACTCATCTCAGAAGAACAGAAAATATGCCATGATTTATTGTTTTTACTGTAACATGTATGGCTAAATATAGATATATAATTAACTTGTTCCCCATTTCAAAACCCAGGCATTAGAGAGAGGCCAGGCAGTGTCAAGTCAGAGACCTGAGCCGTGGAAGGGCAGGCAAGGAGTTAAGCCATATCATGATACAACTTTACTTCTTAAAACTACTGCAGAATTTAACTATCAAATCACATCTCGCCCCCTTAGTTTCTGCTTCACTGCTGTAACTCCCACCTGCACCTGCTGCTCAGTGATACCTCCTTCAGTTTTGTTTTCTTCTTTTGTGCCATCTGGGATCTGTGATAGCATTGGTTCCAACCCTGGCTGCACATTGGAATCATGAAGGGAGCTTTAAAACATGGTGGTGACTGGGTCTCATTGCCAGAGACTTTAATTTAATTGATCTGGGGTGCAGTTTGAGTACTGGAATTGTTCAAAGCTCCCCAGGTGACTGTAGTGTGCGACCAAGGTTGACAATGACTACACCACAGCCTTCTTTAACCTTTCTTCAGCTTTCTCTATAGCCCTTAAGGGCTTTCCTCCAGTTCTTCATGCTCACTTTCACCACAGGGAATAGAGACGATGATAAAATATGACCTATCTCTGGTACAACTACATGAAATACACAAAATCTCAGTCCAAAGAGAACAGGCACATCTAGTATTCACGCACCTTAAGTATTGCAGCACATCCAAACCATGAATATAAAGCCTTTGGTGTGAACAAAGAGGCCACACACTCTTTATAATAACTTTGGGAGTCTCCTACTCCTGGGAACACTAAGAAGTGATTAAAATCCACTTGAATTAAGCCCAGGTGGCTGAGAGGGCCGAAACATTACTGATTCCTAGTTTCAGACAAGTACAGGCTTTATTTTTTTTTTTTGACGGAGTTTCACTCTTGTTGCCCAGGCTGGAGTGCAATGGTGCAATCTCAGCTCACCACAACCTCCGCCTCCTGGGTTTAAGCGATTCTCCTACCTCCTCAGCCTTCCAAGTAGCTGGGATTACAGGCATGCACCACCACACCCGGCTAATTTTTTGTATTTTTAGTAGAGATGGGGTTTCTCCATGTTGGTCAGGCTGGTCTTGAACTCCTGACCTCAGGTGATCCATCTGTCTCGGCCTCCCAAAGTGCTGGGATTACGGGTGTGGGCCACTATGTCTGGCCAAGTACAGGCTTTTAAATACCTAAACAGTCATTCTCCTACCTCACGTTGCTGCTGGTTCAAATTATGTGAATTTCTCTGGCAAAGAGCAATGGTCTCCACCATAGTATCTTCAACATCCTTCAGTGAGGGATCCTCTTTGGTATCTAGATTTAGAAAAAGTGTAAATATCATTTAGGGATATGTTGCTGATAATCTCAGAGCTTTTGTCAAAAGTTAAACATTTTCTTCTTTATATCACCTTCATTTTCTAGTGTATAATAATTAATAAAACCTGATACTAATGTTTTGTAGATTAAAAAATAGTTTATTCTGTGAAATAAGAGTTTCCCACAGAAATGTTTTACATTCGTGGGACAGATAAAGCACATGATACTTAGCATTTCAATATGCTATAGAAATATGGAAAATCCCCAATCATCTGTCTAAGGATTAGTTACTAGAGAGATTCTCACTCACCTTTCTTGGTATACTATCTCTTCTTCTGCCTATTTCTTAAACGTAGACATTCCCCCCAAGATACTATTTCAGGTCTCTCTTCATCGTCTCAATGATTTCAGCGATTCGTGTTTCAACTCTCATGTCTTTGTTCGTAATTTTCAAATACACATCTCCAATCTTTATTCCATTCAAAGTCTACAGGTTGAATTTTCTAATGAACCTAAGACATTTATCTCCACATGGATGTCCTGCAAGCACTTTCAACTTTGTATGTGCAAAATCCAACTTATTTTTCTCATTTCAAATCTGCTCCTTCCTCCGTTTACAAACCAAGTTAATGGAATCATCATCTTTAAGTCAACCAGTTTATAAATCTTCATCTTTGGTGCTTCCCTCTCCTTCACCCCACACATTCAGATAACTTGCTAATTTGTGTTGATATTACTTCCGTGCTTGCATATGACCACAACTTTTACCCTGGTGGAGCTTTTCATCACCTCGTCTGTGCTACTGCAGCAGTCTCTTAGTTGAACTTTTGACATCCCAATCTTGCCTCCCTCATTCTCTTTTACACTGTCACTAGGGTTCTCTTAAGCACAAGTTCAAACAGATCATTCCCTTCCATAAAAACCACCAAGGACTCCTAACTCTGAAAAATAGAATGTAAGTAAGGATCTGACACTAAGTCAACAGAGCAAAGACTTGGGCTCATCTCACCCTCCGTGTTCTGGTGTTACCCTATTCTTTTTCACTCCCTGATTAGTAGTCAGGCACTTCCATGTTCATGTTTTCCTCAGCCTAGAAGGTCCTTCTCCTGCTTCTATCAAACTCCTATTTATCCTTCCAGTCTTTCTTCAAAGGTCTTCCACAAAACTCACTGATTTATAGGTTACAAATAGTTCCATAATTTTCCACACATCTTAGTCACTCAATGTACCTTTTATGACACACCATTCTACTGTTACTATAAGGTTTTATTTACATATCTGTCTCCTTCAGGAGACTAACGTTCTTTGTGCAGTGAGTAGGGGAATCTTGTTTTAGTAGTCTGCGTATAGCCCATAGGAAAAAAGCATGAGTTTCCATGCCATCAAGCCTTTCCCGAGTACTGGGATTACGGTGTGTGCCACCGCCGGCGCTCTAATTTTTTGTAATTTTTACAGAGACAGGGTTTCACCAAAATAAATGAGTCAGACCTGGTTTGAAGTCTGACCCTCCGTGATCCCACCCTGCCTGCGTCTCCGCCAAAGGCTGGATTAGCAGGTGTGAGCACTGCACCCCAGCACCCCCCCGCCCGCCTTTTTTTTTTTTTTTTTTTGAGATAAAGTCTTGCTCTGCGCGCCCAAGCTGGAAATGCAGTGGCGTGATCTCGGCTCCCTGCAACCTCCGCTTCCGCGTTCAAGTGATCCT